ACTTTCATTTTTCATAAATCTTAGTGACATCATGATACAAGCATTGCGTAATTGTGCTTTACGAGCCTGTATTTAATCTTAACCATAATGCATTTTCATTTTATTGAGACAAGCTCAAGAATGTAGTGCACAAAAAAACTAGGTTGTGTTTCTGTTCCTCCAGGTGATTTGTCTATGATTGACTACACGTCCCCATGTGTGTAAAAACCACTGTAAGTACAGTATTTTTTTTTTACGTTTTAAATTTAATGTTTTTTAAAAAACTTTATTAGTATATTTTAATAATTGTACTAATACCTGAATCCATAAATACATTTACATGTTACAAAAATCTAAAATCTAAAATTCAAAGAAATAATAAAAATTTTTTTCTTGAGCACCAAATCATCATATTAGAATGATGTATAAAGGACAGATATCAATATGTGATGTTGCTTGATGAAAGGTTGATTGACCTATTGTTTTTCAGGGGATGATCAGAAGTGTTAATTGGCTGAAGAACTCTAAAGTGGAATATATGGCGAGATGGATTTAATACCGACACTTTTCTCAGATGCTTAATATCTCTGTTTAGCAAAAATAATTCATCTTTTAAAATGCCTGTTAACTTCAGTAATATCATGTTAGAATCAGTAGTATCATTTTAGATTGTTTTTTTGGGGGTTTTTTTTTTAGCGGTTTTATGTGTGGTATAACAACATAGGGAATATCTTTAGGATTATGGTGAGCTTGGACTTTTTAATTTTCTGAAAATAATGTCATGCAATTTTCCACAATCTATGCATGTTTCATGAAGTTACAAACTAAAACGCCACGTGAAAGGTACAGTTGTTGTTGTTTTTTTGTTTTGTTTTTTGCTGCGCCTCACTTGTGGCCAGTCTGGTTTTATGTGTTATAGCTCTGTGAGGCAGTGTTAATTTTGACAGCAAATTTTGATTTAGTTTTAGTCATAGTCTTTTGACTAAAATGCCATTTAGTTTTAGTCATATTTTAGTCATCTGAATTGTTTTTAGTTTTAGTCTAGTTTTAGTTGACTAAATATCATAAGATT